CCAGGACTTCTCCAGAGCCTCCCCATCCTCTGGAACTCTCTACCCCAATTTATCAGACTATCGCCTACTCTGCTCACTTTTAGGTGATCTCTGAAAACCTATCTCTTCAGGGAAGCCTATCCTGCCCTCAGCTAATAATGGAATCTTCTACTCCTCCTACCAGTCCATCCCCCACAGTTACTGCCTTTTGTACCACTAGCCCCTCCCTCTTAGATTGTAAGCTCCAAGGAGCAGGGCCCTCCTAACCCTCTTGTATTGAACTGTATTGTATTTCAATATTTTGTAAAGCGCTGAGCAAACTGTTGGCGCTCTATAAATCCTGTATAATAATAATTTTCTAGAGTTTCCCAAGTGGATGCAGGAACACTGAGAAATGGCACTGGCACCAAAGGAAACATGCCAGAAGCCTGGGCCTTTGGCAAGTATCTTACCTTTCATTGCCTTTTTGTTTGTAGTAACATTTTTAACATTGGGTGGGATTAAAAAAAAATAGGGATTATATCAATTTTAGGCAAGGTCCACCATTTTCCTTTGTGTTTGTATTCAATACACTCACCTAGGATTGTGCTGGTACATCTTGAGCAAACACTTGGCAACCTCCAACATGTCATCATCTTGCTCCATGAAGGTCAGAGACACCCACTCACAAGGGTGCACCAGCTCCTTCCACTCATTATGGTGCTTTAGGAATTTCAGGAGGTGAGCCATCAGAATGTCCAGAGCCAGAACCTCAGTCTGCCCTGAAACACAGAACACAACTCTGATCAGTCTCATAGCCCTTACCTGGTAATCACACCAGACGGGACTGCTCTGTCCTGGTACCTGAAGGGTTTGTACACTGAGCATAGCTGCCCCATTAAGGTTTACTGGAGTTTAAAATGACACATTAAATAATAATTCTGATAGCGGAGATAGAAGGGCTTTTGGAAGTTCAATGCGAACCTTTACAAGTCTGCAGTAATACATCCCAGACATGTCACAATGTACAGCAACAATAATGGTTTCAAAAATGTAATTGCATTATTAAAAATCTGTCCATTACTCTGTCTAGGCCGAGATGAGGTCATCAGTCTGCTGCGCACAAGAGGAAGCATTTTTTCACAAAAAATAATAAAAAACGGACAATTTTTTTGCAGATAAAAAAATGTGCATTTACTATTTTTGTTTTGGGAGCCAGAAAAAGCACTACACCAACGATCAGCAGACTGCGTGTGCCATGCAGAACTCCTGCAGACCTGTCAGTGTATCTGTGCTCTTGTACCTCATATGGGCAAGCAGATACACACTGACAGAAGAATCAATGAACTGGTAGTTCATGGAGAACGACAAGGTGACAGCCGCAAAGGCCGTCAGAACTTGTAGTTTTCCCATTCACAGAATAATGTCAATGAATGACGCAGCACATTTTTTTAAAATTCCGACAGCTAGCGGGGGAAGAAGATCCCCCACTAGCTGTCAAAAGGGGGATCACGGGGTGGTCCTTTTGTAGCATGTTATATGGGTTATGGCACCGCTCCAAGCTATGTGTATGTCAGATGTCCATAATCTCTGACCATCTCCTGTACCGTGTCCGCAGTCTGACCATCCCCTGTACCGTGTCCGCAGTCTCTGTACCGTGTCCGCAGTCTCTGACCATCCCCTGTACCGTGTCCGCAGTCTCTGACCATCTCCTGTACCGTGTCCGCAGTCTCTGACCATCTCCTGTACCGTGTCCGCATTCTCTGACCATCCCCTGTACCGTGTCAGCATTCTCTGACCATCCCCTGTACCGTGTCCGCATTCTCTGACCATCCCCTGTACCGTGTCCGCATTCTCTGACCATCCCCTGTACCGTGTCCGCATTCTCTGACCATCCCCTGTACCGTGTCCGCATTCTCTGACCATCCCCTGTACCGTGTCTGCAGTCTCTGACCATCCCCTGTACCGTGTCCGCATTCTCTGTCTCTGACCATCTCCTGTACCGTATCCGCAGTCTCTGACCATCTCCTGTACCGTGTCCGCAGTCTCTGACCATCTCCTGTACCGTGTCTGCATTCTCTGACCATCTCCTGTACCGTGTCAGCAGTCTCTGACCATCTCCTGTACCGTCGTCTGCATTCTCTGACCAATCTCTTGTGCTTACTTTTATTGATAATGTTCATATCAACGTTTGGGATGCTTTTGAGCTCCCATCAACCAATGAACCTCTTCAAACCTGGTGTTCATCCAGCTTACTGCAGCAATCAAAGGGTGCAAAGGTTCATCTAAGGATCATGGGAAGAAAATGATAAAAGGAACCTTGTTTATCATGGCCCTTAAAAGTGTTTGTAAACCCTTACATATAACCAGTGAAGTGACTGGCCTCAGGTGATACACAGAGATAACACAAATGCTCCTACATAAGTTGTACCCATTTATCAGCAGTCTTCTCTATTCTATGTCCGTTCAAAGTGCAGAATTTACACAGGATCTCTCTGCTCTGAAAATTTGGGGGTGGGGAGCTGAAGTTGCATCAGTGAGGAGACCTCTGAGAGCTGATTGAAGGGAAGAGACACACCTACGTTGACAGAGCACACAGGAACTGAGCTTAGGCTGTCAATCAATCACAAGCTGTGCCCTTCCCTGTCACCTTTTTTTTGCTTGGTGTCAGGAAAACTTATCAGAAGTTACTCATTTTAATAGCAGAGATATGAGACAGTGGACAGAAATTATACTTATATACAGAAATATCAGACTGGGTGTCGCTCCACTTCCTTAAACTGAACCTCTCCAAAACCGAGCTCCTAGTCTTCCCCCCCAGCCCGCACACCACCCCCCCACTGACTTCTCCATCACATCCAACAACGCCACCAACAAACCCGCCCTGCAGGCCAGAGTACTTGGTGTCATTCTGGACTCGCTTCAGTCCATCCTGAATACGGCTGCCAGACTCATTCACCTTTCCAACCGCTCCATCTCCGCCACCCCCCTCTGCCAATCCCTCCACTGGCTTCTGATTGCGCAACGGATCAAATTCAAAATCCTAACACTGACGTACAAAGCTGTCCACCATACTGCCCCGAACTACATCACTGACCAATACCAATATCCAAGTACCACCCAGCACGCACACTCCGCTCCTCACAAGACCTCCTTCTCTCTAGTTCCCTGGTCTCCTCCTCCCATGCCCGCCTCCAGGACTTCTCCAGGGTGTCACCCATCCTCTGGAACTCCCTGCCCCAACCCATCAGATTATCACCTACTCCCCTCTCCTTTAGGCGCACCCTGAAAACCCATCTCTTCAGGGAAGCCTACCCCACCCCCCGCTAATTGCCGATCTCCTCCACTCTTCCTACCACTCCATCCCCCACAGCTATCTCCTCCTGTGCCACCATCCCCCCCTCCTAGATTGTAAGCTCCAAGGAGCAGGGCCCTCGAACCCCTCGTGTATCACATTGTATTGTTATGGTACTGTCACATGTTCTGTCCCCCTTTGTAATGTACAGCGCTGAGGGAACTGTTGGCGCTATATCAAAAATACTGTATAATAATACTTATTGCTTTGGACTGAGACAAGTACACACTATACAGAGATATGCTGTGTTCACATTTCATATCTGAGGTTTACAACCACTTTAAAGCCTAACTCCACCTTACATTCACACCGGAGATTAAGGCCAGTGAGAACTGTAGCGGTGACTGTAGCCTAAATGTACCTGTAAAATAGTCTATTTGGGCCAAGATGGCCCAAAGTATTTACTGCACTAACAGTTGCTCATGCTGTATAAATTGCATGTAGCCTTGGCGACAGTGTACAGCAGAGTATTCTGGCAGTGGGATGATCACTTTCTGTCCCTTTCCTGGAACAAAATAGAGTCAGACTGAGCCATTCACGGGAAGCTTTGTATTCTATGAATGAATACAAAGCTTCCTGTGACGTCATCCACCTGCCTCTCCACCTCAGCCAATCAGAGGACGTTTTGCATTCTTTCATAGACCACAAAGCTCTCCGTAAATGGCTGAGCAGCGCTCATTCCGACTCTACTTTATCTTGGGAGTAGGATGGGAAGTTCCTGTCTTACTGACCGAACACAGCTCTGTATACTGCATGAAGCTACATACATTTAATACAGCGTGCCCAGCGAGCACACCAGTTAATGCAGTAAATAGTTAGTTTGGGCCAACTTGGCACAACAAACTATTTAAAAGGAACATTAAATGTGGAATTAGGCTTTATGGTGGAAATTCAATAGCTTACACAATTGCTAATAATAATAACAACAATAATAAATACCTACAAAAAAGTGAAAAAAAAAAAAAAAAAAAAAAAAAAAAAACACCACACACAAAAAAAACACAGCATTCAAGATTATAGCTAAAGGCATGAAATTGAAAAATAAAATCCATTGTGAGAAGTATTACATATGGCTATAATTACAAAGCAATGGATGAGAATTTTTTTTTATCCAGCAAACATTGAAAATTGTCCATAGATAGCAGAGCACCACTGAAATGTCTTTTGCTGCACATTACTAAGTCATTAAAACCAACGCTTAAAGCATAATATCTGTTTGGACAAAGTGGAGAGGAAGAACTGTGATGTCACAATCTCCCCCTCATCCAATCAGAGAATGCCATGTATTCACTGAAACAAATACAAGGTGTTCGGTCAATTGCAGCAGTGCACAGTGTGGCAGTCACTCAGCACAGGACTTGGAAGATTGCAGAGTTCACCATAGTAGCCCCAACTACTACAGTGATAGTCAGCTTCCCCAGTGACCCCTCAGGTATGAGCTATACTGTACTTACATTGGGCCAAGCGAATATGTAATTAGGACCATATGTAACATTACATGAAATGTCCTATACTACACTAAAATAACAATATGTAGCAGCACATGGATGCTTTTGTGGTTGATTGCATTACCTGATTCTCCATTGTGGACCTGGATTTCCAGGGCTTTGAGAACAGACAGACAGGTGGCTCCCAGAATGACTAAGTCAGGACCATGCTCCGATCCATCATTAACACCCCCAAAGCTGCTTGATCTGTCACTAACAGGGACCTGTAGAAGCCATCCCTGCTGCACAGCACCCAACATTGTCCCAGCCAGGACAGCCAAGTCCTTGTCCAACACTGCATCTTGCTGGTTTGACATAGTGCGGGGAGAAGGCAGGAAATCCTCTCCAGCTTTACACAGCAGACATCTTTTCAGCACCAGTATAACCTGTTTCTTCACAAAGTAAGGAACAGGAGAGGAGATGATGTTCAAGGTTTGAGGCAAGATGGCTGACAGAACATGTTTGCAAAGGGAGACATTTAAATTTTAGCTTTGTTTTTAAGGCAACCAAGGTTTCTATAAAATCCAGCAGGCAGGAGAGCTGGCCGCTGGGCTCTTCGACTAGTGCAAGTGGCTGGCATGGAGGGTTGGACAGCAAGTGAAGATGGTAGTTAGAACAGTGTCTTTCAAAGACATTTTCAAGAGGAAGCAAGATCATCAGCAGAAGGTCTGGAAAACAGAAGAGCACATATTACCATTCTAAACATAAAATGTAAAAAATAAATATCACTGCTCCCCGTGTTACTAGTTTCTTTGCTGGAAGTCACATACATATATACACAGTTGTGTTCAAAATAATTGCAGTGTGTTGAAAAAAGTGAATAAAGCTCAAAATCCTTCTAATAGCTTTTATTTCCATCCACACAAATGCATTGGGAACACGACACATTCTATTCCAAATCAGAACATGAAGAAAAATATATCAAATTTGTGTGTTCCTCTAAATAAAATTGAAGAAAAGTGAATATTAGACGGTTCAAAAAAAAAAAAAAAAAAAAATTGCATTGTTTGTATTCTTCTTTTCATTTATATAAACTGAGAAATGTTTGAAGATTTTGCTTTCCTTTGAATGACTTCATGAATATTTGGTTGTAGTCGCACTGTTTCTGAGAACTGCTGTACATCTGTGTTGCATGGAGTCCCCCAACTTCTGGCCCCTGTGATCAGGTATTCCAGCCCAGGATGATTGGACAACATTCCACAGTTCTTCTCTATTTCTTGGTTTTGCCTCAGAAACTGCATTTTTGATGTCACCCCACAAGTTTTCTATTGGATTAAGATCCGGGGATTGGGCTGGCCACTCCATAACGTCCATCTTGTTGGTCTGGAACCAAGATGTTGCATGTTTTCTGGTGCGTTTGGGGTCGTTGTCTTGTTGGAACACCCATTTCAAGGGCATTTCCTCTTCAGCATAAGGCAGCATGACCTCTTCAAGTATTCTGATGTATTCAAACTGATCCATGATCCCTGGTATGCGATAAATAGGCCCAACACCGTAGTATGAGAAACATCCCCATATCATGATGCTTGCACCACCATGCTTCACTGTCTTCACAGTGTACTGTGGCTTGAATTCAGTGTTTGGGGGTCGTCTGACAAAACTGTCTCCGCCCACTAGACCCAAAAAGAACAATCTTACTTTCATCAGTCCACAAAATGTTGCGCCATTTCTCTTTAGGCCAATCAATGTGCTCTTTGGCAAATTGTAACCTCTTCAGCACAGGTCTTTTTTCCAACAGTGGGACTTTGCGGGGGCTTCTTGCAGATAGCTTGGCTTCACATAGGCGTCTTCTAATTGTAACAGTCCTCACAGGGAACGTCACACCTTCTTTCATCTTCCTGGAGCTGATTGTTGGCTGAGTCCGCGCCATTTTGGCTGTTCTTCTATCCATTCCAATGGTAGTTTTTCGCTTTCTTCCACATCTTTCAGGTTTTGGTTACCATTTTAAAGCATTTGCGATCATTTTAGCTGAGCAGCCTATCATTTTCTGCACTTCTTTATATGTTTTCCCCCCTCCAATCAACTTTTTAATCAAGGTACGCTGTTCTTCTGAACAATGTCTGGAACGACCCATTTTCCTCAGAATTTCAGAGAGAAATGCACTGTAACCAGCATGTACAACATTTGCTGCCTTCTTTCCTTAAATAAGGGCAATAATTTCCACCTGTTTTACAAAGAATGAATGACCTCACTAATAGAACTCCACACTGCTATTATTTTGAACACGCCCCTTTCAATGAGCGATTCAATGACACAGAATCAGCAGCATGCATGTCATGACTGTTGGGTCTGTTGCATTTCTATTACTCTACTACACCTGCTAGTAAATTATTTGCCATGTAGAAATATCATTTCTACCAAAAACAGTGATTGATCAGGTTAGTGATGTCTGACGGCTATTATTTTGAACACAACTGTACATCACAATACAGATGGCTCCCATAACATGTCAAAGCCGTCCCTGCCGGGAGAATACAGTGATTACTGCTAGCAGCTATAATAGGCGCTAGCAATAACTGCATGTAAAATCTGACAGGCTGGTTGTACCTAAGCTGATCGATCAACTTCAGCACATTCAACCTGCCCATACATGGTTCAAATCTTGGGCAGTCCCTATGGCTGACTCTAGAGAGATGTCACTAGCTTCCCCTTCAAAAAAGCCTTTGCATTTACATACAATCACTTGGATATTACCAAACATCTACATGCAGTTACTCTTACCTGTGTTTTGTAGCCTTTCATCTGTGAGGAATCCTTTACAAACAGATACCAGAGATGTCAGGCATGGGATCAATGTTTGTGATCCAGGATCCTGGCAAAGACTTTTCAGACAGAACTGCAACCAGTGAGCATTTACCTCATTCTAGAAAGACATGTATGCAAAAACCATACGCTTAACACTTACAAAGCTTAAACTGGTTGTAAAGGTTAAAGGTTTTTTTTACCTTAATGCATTCTCTGAATCCAAAAAGGTAAAAAAAAAAAAAAAAAAAAAAAAAAAAAAAAAACTTTTTTTTTTAAATTTAAATATTTTATTATAAAATTTTCAAAAATACCTTTTTACATATACAAAAGCTAATAAAATGTACAAAATAGAAAAAAAACAAAAAAACAACAACAACAACATCATGTTTTGCTCCCCTTCCAGACCCCCTAAATACGTTCCTGAGCCCAATTTCGATCCAACACTGTGTTTGAGAGCAGCAGAGAGGCTACTATCTCCTCACTGGCTCCTAGACAGCAGCAGGAGCCATTGACTTCTGGTGCTGTCAATCACAGCCTGTGAGGATAGAATGGGGGGCTATAGACACAAGCAGCGCGGCCTGAGGATCGAGCCCACAGGCATGTCACAATAGGAAGCGCCTTCTTATGGTAGCACTCCGAGAAGGAGGAGGAGCCAGGAGCGCTGGTGGGGGACTCCAGAAGAGGAGGATTGGAGCTGCTCCATGCAAAACCAATTTCACAGGGCAGGTAAGTATAATACGCCTGTTATTTTTATTGGGGCACCAAAATTAAAATTCTTGTGCCGAAACCGAAACCAAAAATTCAGGATGCACTTGGCCAAAAACTGAACAATTTATAAAATGTTTTAAAAATTTTAATACGGCTGGCAATTTTGCATTGAAGTCACTAGGGGGCGTTTTTGTATTATAGTCTAAGGGATGTGACTTCACATGAAGTCTATGGGACGTGATTTTGTACTGAAGTCATTAGGGGCTGTTTTTGTATTATAGACCTTAGATTGTACGCCCCTTGAGGGTTAGGGACTGATGTGACTGTACAATATATATGTAAAGTTCTGCGTAAATTGACGACGCTATATAAGTACCTGAAATAAATAGTCTACGGGACGCGACTTCACATGAAAGTCTATGGGACGTGATTTTGTACTGACGTCACTACGGGGTGTTTTTGTATTATAGTCTATGGGACACGACTTCACATGAAAGTCTATGGGACATGATTTTGTACTGAAGTCACTAGGGGGCGTTTTTGTATTATAGTCTATGGGATGTGACTTCACATGAAAAAGTCTATGGGACGTGATTTTGTACATAAGTCGCTAGTGTGTGTTTTTGCATTGAAGTCAATAGGGACAGCACTTTGCAGGAAAGTCTATAAGACGCAATTTTGCATTGAAGTCACTAGGTGGAATTTTTGTCTGAAAGTCTATGACAAGTGACTTGGCATGTATCGGCACCATTATTGGCACTTTTTTTCCTATCGGCAAAATGTCGGTAACACGATTTGCGGCTGATACGTTTCCATAGAACTTGTTTAAAAAAAAAATGCCTTTACGATCGCTTTAGTGCTTATTTTTATAGTCCTACAATACACGTATAGTTTCAAACCTTGGAAAATAGAAATAAATGCTTTATACTACTAAACATAAAGGTAAGATGATCAAATGCAAAGTATACATATAAAAACATCACTGTACAGGTAAAAAAAAAAAAGAGTACATGTCAGAGAACAGATTAGATACCTGATATTTGAGTTGATATAGCACCAAATAGAGAGGCACTTGGAGGAGATATGCGATAGCACCTTATCAGAAGTATTTAACAGTTTGATCTGTACAGAGAATGAAGAAAAAAAAAATGTGTTAAAACACAAAATACTGTAATATATTTAGCTCATATGTATATCAGACTAAAAGCTGATCAGAGGACTACAAAAAACTATTGATGGATGCATCCCTCTTGTAGGTGCCAGAAGAGAATTGTACTCCTTTCTATTCCACTTTTACTCTCTGTCCCTTCACAGTTAGCAAGGCTCCCGGGACTTCATCTGTCAATAAAGCCATACAACTGGCATTGTGTTCAGCAAGCAACCATGATATTACCCCATGAAGCGTTTGGAAGTTGCTGTCTTTTTCTGCCAATGTTACCACCTTTAAATGTGTGTACGTAATGTACGAGAGCAAAGATTTACACCCACACTCATTGGTTGTGGCTGGCACTGTAGCTACTTGTCAGGTACAATGATATACCTTTGTCCCACATATACAGTGCCTTGAAAAAGTATTCATACACCCTTGAAATTTTTTACATTTTTGTTATGTTACAACCAAAAACGTAAATGTATTTTATTGGGATTTTATGCGATAGATCACACAAAAGGGGTAGATAATATGAAGTGGAAAATGAGAAATGGTTTTCAAAATTTTTTACAATATATATATATATGAATAGTGTGACATGCATTTGTATTTGGCCCCCTTTACTCTGATACCCCTAACTAAAATCCAGTGGAACCAATTGCCTTCAGAAGTCACCTAAATTATTAAAATAGAGTCCACCTGTGTGTCATGTAATCTCAGGATAAATACAGCTGTTCTGTGAAGCCCTCTGAGGTTTGTTAGAGGTTAGAGAACATTAGTTAACAAAACAGCATCATGAAGGCCAAGGAACAAACCAGAAAGGTCAGGGATAAAGTTGTGGAGAGGTTTAAAGCAGGGTTAGGTTATAAAAAAAAAAATATCCCAAGCTTTGAACATCTCACGGAGCACTGTTCAATCCATCATCCAAAAATGTAAAGAGTACGGCACAACTGCAAACCTACCAAGACATGGCTGTCCACCTAAAACTCAAATCAATAGATCCAAACAGGAATCTACCCTCTTTCAATAAATCAACTATTGATGTAACAACAGTCTCTCTCTTATGACTAAGTCCCGGATGTGACGAAACGCGTCAAGAGGAAGAGTGACGTTATACGCAAGGAGCAGGAACGGAAGTGTCGCAGCGGCCATCTTTGTTGAGGAATCACTGGACACTTGAGAGTGGACTGCATGGGAACTGTGGGAACTGCCTGGTAATCCCCATTCAGTGGGGTTTGTCCAAAATTGGTTATACTACTTTTATACTTATGTTTTTAACTCCTTATACAAGTGGATTCATTAAAACTTGAAACATACATGGAGGTACGTCATATTTTATAAACCTATGTATGTGGAAGGCATAGTAAGATCATCCTAACAGGAAGCGGAGGAGGAGGAGAGGAGGATAAAGCTTCTTTGGAGGATTTCCAGTTTATATATATATAAAAGGCGTTGAGTTTCATCTACTGTTGGTAAGGGTATATTGGCCTTACTCACTAGAAGTGTCACGTGTGGGAGGAATCTCACTAAGTAGATCACTTCATGATTTTATTATTTATGATAAACAAGTGTCTTATGAAGCCCTTTTCCTTTTGGAAGGTTCTCACAAGTGTTAATATATATAATTTTTCACATTAAAGGTTGCACAAAATACACATTTGTGTGTGCATGTGTTTTATATATATATATATATATATATATATATATATATTCAAAAAAAAAAATTTTTTTTTTTTTTTTTGTGATATTATGGTAATGCACTATTGTGAGCTGGGTGGGGATTACTGTTTTTCTTTGAGGTTCTTCACAACAATCAACACTGCAAGAAATATACTTTTTCATATATTTTTTTTTTAATTTTATTTTTATTTTTTAATTTTATATTTTTTCTTTATTGAGACACTGGACTTTATATTATCGGATTTAAATCACAGAGACACTGGATTTATGATTTTGTAGAAAGTATATGGGAATATTTTTGTTGTTACTTCAATCTGAACAAAGGGTAGATTCCTGTTTGGATCTATTGATTTGAGTTTAAGCAGGGGGTTGAAAGTTATTTCCAATTTGGAATTGGGGGAGGTGCAAGGGTGGCACATTATATTTATATCATTTTCAACATTATATTTATATGTCCACCTAAACTGACAGGCCTGGCAAGGAGAGCATTCATCAGAGAAGCAGCCAAGAGGCCCATGGGAACTCTGGAGGAGCTGCAGAGATCCACAGCTCAGGTGGGAGAATCTGTCCAAAGGACAACTATTGGTTGTGCACGCCACAAATCTGGCCTTTATGGAAGAGGAGCAAGAAGAAAGCCAGCCATTGTTGAAAGAAAGCCATAAGAGGTCCCATTTGCAGTTTGCGAGAAGCCATGTGGGGGACACAGCAAACATGTGAAAGAAGGTGTTCTGGTCAGATGAGACCAAAATTTTACTTTTTTTTACCTAAAAGCAAAACGCTGTGTGTGGCGGAAACCTAACACTGCACATCACCATGAGCACACCATCCCCACCGTGAAACATGGTGGTGGCAGCATCATGTTATGGGAATGCTTTTCTTCAGTAGGGAGAGGGAAGCCGGTTAGAGTTGGTGGGAAGATGGATGGAGCCAAATACAGGGCAATCTTAAAAGAAAACCTGTTAGAGTCTGCAAAAGACTTGAGACTGGGGTGGAGGTTCACCTTCCATCAGGACAACGACTCTAAACATACAGCCAGAGCTACAATGGAATGGTTTAGATCAAAGCATATTCATGTGTTAGAATGGCCCAGTCAAAGTCCAGACCTAAATCAAATGGAGAATCTGTGGCAAGACTTGAAAATTGCTGTTCACAGACACTCTCCATCCAATCTGACAGAGCTTGAGCTATTTTGCAAAGAAGAATGGGCAGAAATGTCCCTCTCTAGATGTATAAAGCTGGGAGAGACGTCCCCAAAAAGACTTGCAGCTGGAATTGCAGCCAAAGGGGATCCTACAAAGTATTGATTCCGAGGGGTGAATACAAATGCTGCCACACTTTTCACAGATTTATTTGTATAAAATTTTGAAAACCATTTATCATTTTCCTTCCACTTCACAATTATGTGCCACTTTGTGTTGGTCTATCACATAAAATCCTAATAAAATACATTGACGTTTTTGGTTGGAACATGACAAAATGTGGAAAATGTGAAGGGGTATGAATACTTTTTCAATGCACTGTAGAAAAGTTTCTCTCTC